ACTCCAGTGGTCTAAAACTAACCGTATGTTGAAAGAACAGTGGTTAGATACAAGTGAATCACCAAAACAAAACCAAAAACCTCCACTGCACCCTAAAAAGTTAATGTTTACTGTATGGTGGTCTTTCAAAGGGGTTATACAGTATTCATTCTTGCCTCAAGGGAAAACAATAACAGCAACCTCTTATTGTGGGGAAATTGAGTATACATGAAAAATTGAAAAAGAAACATCCAAGACTTGTAAATAGAGATGGTCTAATTTTGCTGCACGTCAAGGTACGACAGTACCCTTCTCAATCAATTGTCCAAAACTGCATATCCTCAATTATGAAATTTTGCCTCATCCTCTATATTTGCCTAATATCTCTCCTATTGATTATCACTTATTTAAGCATTTTGAGCTTTTCATAAGCAATAAAGCATTCTCCAATAAGGAAGAGGTAATCAAAGTATTTGAACTGTTTCTCACATCAAAGGATGAGAATTTTTTTTTAAAGATGGGATCAAGAAGTTAGACATACACTGGAGAACAGTCATTCTTCAACGTGGTGCCTATTGCAACTAAAATTAGTTATTTAACATTTCAGATGTGTTTTATTTATTTCTTATAAAGTGCATCATTTCATGTGTGACAAGATGTGATGGATAAATTGTCATCTAAATTATGCAAAAATTGAAAACATCACCGACATCTGATTTTAACAAATATATTTACTAAAATTACACAAAACTATCTTGAAATACTAGAGAGTAAATTTATTCAATAAAATCGCCATTCAGATGACTTTGGAATGTCCTGCAACTCTTCCGGGTGCTCTCCTTGTTTAAGTTGATGAATGCTGCCATAATCCTCGCTTTCGGGTCATCTTTGGTGTTATAAGGAGTTTTGTTGGTCTCTCACCCATCTGTGCCCCACACATAATAATCAAGGGGGCTTGCAGTCTGGGGAGTTAGGCGGCAAGATGTAAGGGGTGATGTGATCGGAGAAATTGTCTGACAGCCATGACTGGGTTCTCCTGCTTGCGTGACATGGTGCAAAGTTCTTTTGGCAGATATAGGATCTTCCAAAAGCCACCCTTTTGACCCAGGGGCAGCACTACCTCCTCAAGATACTTGATGTAGGCCTTCCTATTGAGTTTGAAGCCCTGTGGGAAAATGAATGGAAGCATAACGTCGACACTATTAGTGAGCACTCCAAACACAAACGTAATCATCCCACTTTTTCCGAATCCTTTGTACTGTCCTCAGATTGACATGCAAACATTCTGAAATGTTCATATTGGATCTTCCGGGGCGAATGCCAAGCAACGCAGAATGCCGTTTCCAAATTTCTGGCGGAGTGAATTGCGTCATGGTTCTCTTTTTTACACAGTTGTACAGTCGACAAAATCAAAAACAAACAACGCGCATGCGCGACATAAAAAATATAAAATGGCGGCAGTTTACCCAACGCATTCTTTATATATAAATGACGTGATCTGATATATTGAATTGATTTCCATCTCGATGAAACTTTCTCGTCACGAAATCTCTAATAACGTATCATTGAGTATCTGTCTATATTTCTGAGATGAGGTATTATGTACACTATTTACATTATTCGGACTATTGTCCTCATATTTTGTTGCCATATTTATCACAACGTTTCAGCCATTTCGAAACGTTGTGATAAATATGGCAACAAAGATGAGCACAATAGTCCGAATAATGTAAATAGTGAACGTATCATTCATATTTTTTCGTCCTTGGAGAAAAGGAAAAGTTTGTTTTGCGCATTCAGCTTGCTCCCTCCTTGAATTTTAATCGTCTATAAAGGTGTCGGAGTTAACTCCTCCTTTAGTTCGTTAACCCTTTCACCAGGGGTCTCTCTTCCCTGGCTATAAATACTCGCTGACCCTTCGCCTCTTCCTCTTTTTCCTCAGGCTTTCAGCCTTACCACTTCGCAGATGTGAGCTCTCACAGATACAGCGTTTCCCAAATTCTGGGAACATGCTAAGAACAATACACGTACGTACGAACACTCACCACAACACACACATATAATATTTCACCACACGCACTCTGTCCATTTAACTGTCCATGTAACTTGTAACCTTCCTTGTTGTTAATACATATATTTGCTTACATATATTTATCGGTCTTGTGTTTGTTTTTCTCTACAAAGGTAAATTGGTGACCTTTCATGAAATAGTGCTACCGTAACTTTTTAGACCGGAAATGACTTATAACTAAAACTAATATTAATATTTAATAGAACATGAACTATTTAAATCGATGTTTCTCAACCGGTACGTCTCCGGAATCGTAGGGTTCCCTAAGAGGTCTCTCTCTAGGGGTACTGTGAGAAGCAATGATAAATAGGCTAAGGCATTTTGGAGTCATTTTTGTTTAATATTATATTCATAATTTTGCTATACACGGACGACATATTATTGGAAAATCCTTGGTTATTATGATAAAGGCTTCAACATCTTATATTTATTTAAAACTATAATAAAAATAGGGAATATATTTAACGATGTCTACATGGCGCCAGTGTGAAACCGCTGTCATTGGTTTGTGGACAGGACCTTTACGTGTCGGATTTGTGTATCATTGAGTGACCAACTCGAGTACAAGACAAGTGTCCATATAATATGTTTACCACCTGAACTACAATAAAAAAAAAAACATAAAGAGATAGATTTTTAGGTATGGATTACCTGAGACATGAAAACTATTTCAAGGGTCCCACAATGTTAGGAAACGCTGGCTTAAATGATTTAATTTGTTTCTTTCTTCAATAATCTATTTCGTATTATATATATATATATATATATATATATATAATGTATATATATATATATATATATGTATGTATGTGTGTGTGTATTAATTCTTCAGTGTCTTCATGTTTTTATTCACACTCATCTTTTTAAAACGTTCAAATGGTTCGTGCGTAAAACTGGCGAAGAACGATACGAGCAATCGCGAGAACAAGAGACCAGATATTTCTTTCTTTCATTATTTATTTCATTCTTTCTTCCTCCTCTCTCTCTATCCCCTTCTTTCTTTCTTTCTTTCTTTTTATTCCTCCTCCTTTCTCTCCCTATCTCTCTCTTTCTTTCTCTCTCTCTTTCTTTCTTTCCTTTTTCTTTCTTTGCATCCTTTCCCTTTCTTTTTCTTCTTTGCTCTTCATTCCTCCTCCCTTTCTTATATATATATATATAAAGAACAGTAAGATATATACTCCGGTGTTCTTCTAGATATTTTTATTTTTACAAAATAGTGCTCAATATAAATTTACATAGCATCAATATCATAAATTAATTAATTTAAAATATGGTTTTTCCGCTACACAATTCTAATCATGTTTCAAAAATG